CCTGGCTTGCCCCCTCCCCCCCCCATCCACGACCGCCCAGGCTGCCGCCGGTGAACTGGGAGGGAACGGCTGGAGTCCCAGCGGAGCTGGGGGGGGCTGGAGCAGCGTTTGTACCCACGAAAGGAGCGTGGACATGGCCACGCCACCGTCCCCAGCCTTGGAGAAAGGCTGGCCACTGCAGGGATGATTTACCACGTCCCCTCCTCTCTCCTCTAACTCGTCTCTCCTGCTTTATACACGTTGTTCCCAAGAAACATCCCTTCCCCCTGGTTTTTAATCGTTATACAGAGACTTAACACAACATTAAGGGTCAAGGGAATCGCAACTTCTGTAGTTACAGGACTGATTTTTTTGCTGTTTTAAATGAAGACATTTTAAAAATGTTACGAATTTACCTTTATAAGGAGCTGCTGCCTTCAGGTTATGTGGGTTTTTTTTAAAAAAAATGTAGTAATTTATATCTGTCTTTTTATTTAAACTCACGGCTTCACCCGTTTACTGTGCTGGACCAAGGCAGCAGGAGCGATGCCGTTCGGGCTGAGAGTTTCAGTCCCGATCGTGGCTGAAAAAGGCTGCGAGAAAGATGTAAAGACTGTTAAAGAAAACCAAACCACTTGACAACACAGACCCCAGCTGTCCCGAACGAGAGCGGGGGAGATGCACATTTGGGGGTGACCTTGACGGAGCCGGGGCGACCCCGACGTGACTGGAGGGGGCAGGAGAGGGGAGCGATGCTGCGAGACCTTGGAAGGAGAGATTGTTTCCGTCCCGCGGGCACTGAAAGGTTGATGGGCATCCCGGGAGGGATCCCAGCAGCCCAGGACGGACGGACTCCCCCTCGCCCGGTCGGCAGCAGCGGTACACAGCAGAGGCCTTACAAACTCGATACTCAGGTGTTTTTCCAGCTGATGCAGGGCGTGGAGGAACAAAATGAGGATTATTATTATTTTTTATTTCACTACAGGAAATATTTATTTTAAACTAAGAAAACGGAGGCGCGGGGGGGGGAGGAAGGAAAAAAAAGCCCCACTCGAACTGTACCACAGACTCTTTTTTAGCTGAAAGGTGTGTTTG